CTGGCTGAGGAGCAGCTCCCTGTTTTCTGCAGCGCGCAAGTGATGCCCCGCGCGGGCAGAAGAAACACAACCATACACCTCCAGCTCTCCCGGGGTCCCGGGACTCAGTGCAGGGTGGGAGCCAGGGCCGAAACTCTAGAGCGCGGGGGCGGGGCTATGCCGGTCGGGGCTGGGGCGGGGCTTCCCTTCGCAGTCGGCTCCGCCCCTCAGCCGGGTACGGTGCCTGGATCCGGTGCTTCCCACACCCACTATTATCTCCTAATCTCCCTGCTTTGCCCTGGACTGCGTCTGGCCCGGAGTCGCCCGAGGGAGAACGTCCCCGGGGCACCAACCCCATTGCTGGCGGAAATAAAATGTAGCCCGTAAGGGGTTCTGATCCACTCAGAGGTTCGGTCGGTTGCTGCCCCACGACCTGGAGGTACTGGGGAGCAACAGCGGGAGCGCGCGAGGGACACTGCGCCCTCAGGAGGTGCGCCCAAGTTTAGGACAGTCTTCGGCGCCCCGCGCGCCTAAAGTGGCCGGGGGACAGACTGAGAATCTGCTGCAGGTTGAAGCAACGAGGGAGAAGCGGATACTGAGCCGAGACGAAGGCAGGATCGCAAACTGGCAGTGACTCCGGCCAGTATGAGTGTTTTGTTTGGCCAGCACAGTGGTCGTTTAAAAACTTGAATTTGAATGCCTGTAGTTAGCATATGCACTTGCCCAGTTCTCCAAAGTTCCCGCTGTTTCCTCTTATACCTGATGCCTTCAAATGTTTTTCAGTTACCTGCCTAGCCCCAAAAGCATTTAAATTTGATCCCCTAACCGGCTTTCACCAAAACCCTAGCTCAGACCTCCGGAGAGCTGGCGGTACCAGGGCCTGGCATACCCGCGGCGTATGAGACGGTCTGCTTGGGAAAGGGCTTTTGTCCACGGAGTTATCGACCAGGAGTCCCTAGCGTGACGCTTCCTGGGCCTTTTCAGAGCCCAGCCAAGATCCCCTCAGGCCCAGGGGAAAGAAGCCTGCCTCGGCGGGCTTCACAGGAGAGGCAATGAAGCAAAGCTCCCAGACCCAGGCCTCCCAGAACACTATGTACCAAACCTCCAACTCTCTTCGCAGGTACAGACTCGTGGCTCTGTTTAGAGGAACACTTGGATTCCCTTCTAACCACATTTGCCCTTTTTTCCTCTCCATTTCTCCCTACACCTGGGAAGTGACAGCAGATGTCCCTCAACTTCATTAAATGGGATCTTCCAGATCCCTCAGTCTCTTACTTTCCAGGTGCTTCTTAATGACAACTTACTTAAAAGACCATCCTTTAGGGAGATGAAGAGGTACAAATGTTTTATTTCTACATCTAGTCCGAACTCCTCCTCCTGAAATACACCATTAATGCAAAGTGTTGTTTTTCTTCCAGTATTTTTAAAAATATTACTGTATTTACTCTTCTATTTTGTCAGGTTGGCAATTGAAAGACTTTGACTCTGAAATACAACATTTATGGTTTAATTTTTTTATATGAAAAGGTTTTGAATAAAAAGTCTTTTCTTCAGCAGAGGGAAGCATTTTTACCTTTTCTTTTTTCCCCAAGCAAGTTCTATGCACATACAGGTATGGGTATATCACCCTCCTTTTCTCACAAAGGGTAGCCTTGGTATAAATACTGCTCAAGTGCTGACTTTTTTCACTTTAAAATATAACTTGCAGATCGTTCTGTATCAACCCTTAGGGCTCCATCTCGTACTTTTTCGTAGTGGCATGGTGTTGCGCTGTATAGATGCACTAATATTTAATCTAGAAGGTATTTATTTGTCAGGGGGCAGAAGTACACTTAAAGAAACTCCTCTTTTCCTGCAAGTAAACTTAGTAAGGAAAACAGGATGGGCTCTGGCAAAGCTGGATAAGGGGGAGGGAGATGGAAACTGGTTTGGAGAAGGCAATTTTTCTCCATCTCCATCTCCAAACAATTCTCTCTCAGTGTTATTTACAATTCATGACACTTCCTCTTCCACGTCTCACTTAAGAAGATAGTGTCTCCTCTGAATGCAAACCAGAACCTGCAGGCCTGTGGTAATAGCCCCCTTTAGAAGTCTTGGAGGAAATGATGCGTCTTTGATGGCCACAAGACCAGAATTTGGCAGGGTCTCAATGAAATCAGTCTACCACATTCTCTCCCACACAGCACTTAGAAGTGCCTTGTGTTCATGAAAAATGACAAAGTCTGTTGTTGTTTTTTTTAAGTCTATTCCATGTGCAACTGCCTCCCATTATCTGGCACCGCTGCAAAGGAGTGATTCGTGTGACTTACTCAGGCACTACAGGTTAAGATCACCGCCTATCAAAGTACGCAAGAGTATTCAGTGCCCCATAAGTGGTATTCAGGCACATTTGGGGAATGAAGCAGCCAAGAGTGGTGCTAAGTACACAGGGGCCACACTGGCTGGGCTTGCCTCCCAAGTCTACCTTTTACTATCCACGTGATCTTGACTAACTTATTGGTTGCGTATCTATGAAATGCAAAAGATGATAATAATACCTTCTTCATAGGGATTTGGCAGGAATTAAACGAGTTTCTGCAGATAAAGCATGACCTAACACCTGGTGAGCACAAGCGCCTGGCGCACAGTAAGCACCCAGCGCACATTAGGAAGCATCTGCAAAGGTTAGTTATACGACAATGCACGTGCTGCTGAGATCTGAAAGGCAAGTAAGGCTCATTTCTTCAGCAGCAGTTTCTAATCACCTACTATGTGCTAGACACTACACAAGATACTAGGGTTACAGTGGTGGGAAAAAAGGCAGTGTGGGCAGAAATGAGCATCCTCACAATAGCTCCACCCAGGGCATATTTAAGTTAATCTCAGAGCTCTGTTTCTCCAGCTGCTTCTTCAGGCTTTGTGCACACAGAATATAAATTGTTCCTATCACCAAGCACACTGCACAAATTACACTCCACAATGCCAGCTTTGGTCCATCACCACCAGTATTTTGGACTTTATATCTTAAAAAGTAAATATGAAGACCAGCAAAAGATTAATAATTGTGGAAGCTAGATGATGACCATGAAGTTTCATTTTACTATTTTCTCTACTTTTACACATTTAAAATTTTCCATGATTTAAAAAAATCTGTTTTAATTAACTACAGTCAAAGTATTGCATGATCTTGTATAACACCTCTGACTTAACCACTGTCGGTGTCTTGATGTTACCTCTGGGAAAAGCCTGAGGCAGAGAGGCAGGTGGATGAGACCTCGCACTTTTTACTTCATCTATTTCTATAACATTTTGTCAGAACAAGAAAGTGTAACTTTTACAAATAAAAAATACAAATCCAGAGCAACTCTCTCTTCTAGTAGCTGTTATATTTTCAAATATTGTCACTTGTTGATTATGAATTTGCATGACACTTTCTCCTGTTTGCTTCACTTAATTTGTTTCCAGCATTTGTTTATGCTCTAACTGACCAGAGCCCTGACTACCTCGCCAGATGTTGGCTGGATTTCATAGCCCATTGTACTCATGACTATCGTGCGCTGGGAGATTATGAGTACCTTTTATCTCTCATTATCCACCTTCCTTACACACCCATGTATATTTTACTCTTTGTGTGCCTGCTTTTTAACTTACATATTTGTATGTCCAAGGGAAAAAGGCTATGTTACCACAAAGTCAGGCTTGCCTTGGATGTTTCTATCAGTGTTTGGTTTCATTCATAAAGTCTTATATTCTAATAAATATAAATCAAGCTCCCCATCCTTTTTGTAAAATACATGAAACAGACCTTCATTACTTGCCACCTGAACAGGAAAAATCTCGGTTACTATAAATGCATAGGCCTATGTGCTCTCCCCAACTCGCCCACACAGTTTTTTGTTATATCTCATAAGAGGTAAATGTAACAATTTTAAAATGTGGAAAGCATGCAGAGAATTTAAATAATCAACTGAAAATCCAGAGAAGGATGTTAGAAACTAATCAAAGGGCTAACACCACTAAGCTCACACTGTGAGCAGGCACTGTTCTGAATGCTTCACTGCATCTCTGGCTTCATTCCTACCACATCCCATAAGGGCAGCAAGCACTATTAGTGATTCCTAGTGAAGAAGAAGGGTGAAGACAAGAAATTGTTTATCCTTACATCAATGTTCCTTTGCCTTCCTAAAAGTCTTGCAAAAAAAAATTGTTTTATGTGTTTGCAAACGATCGATGTATAGTTTCCCACCATTAGTTAATGACTTGTTAAAAGTCAAGACATTCTTTGCTTTTTAAAATAATAATAATAAACTGATTTTTGAAGCACTTACTATGTGCCAGGTATTTTCCTTGGATTATCTTATTTTAATGTTCACAATAACTCAGTGGAGAAGGTACTATCAATACTTTCATCTCAGGACAGTGGGGATGAGATTTGAAGGTTTAAATTAACTTTTCCAAAGTCCCACAACTAGAAGGAGTAGAATCAGGACCGAACAGAAGAGAGCGAGACATCCGAGACAGACCCCTCCAGGCACTTACGGTTTCTTGTTGAGGATGGTCTCCTTCAAGGGACGAGGCTGAGTCAGTTGATGCCACTGGCTTCCTCAGCTTCTCCTCGATGATTGCTTCCATTGTCCTAGGTGGATGGAAGGCCAAGAGTGACTTAAGACAATCACTCTGCCATGGACCATCAGGGCAGAATTCAAGGCAGGTAACTAGATCACCCTCTCCGTCAACCCCACCCCAGGAATCCCAGCCCAACTGGAGCTTCACCTTTACCCCTTCACAGAAAAGCAGCTGCTGCTATACACATAATCACATGTGCAATGGGGGCACTGGGGGTATTTTTTTTTTTCTGCCGTAGATTTTTTTTGTCCTTTAGCCTCTTAGAAAACTTTTTTTTGTCCTTCATTATCCAGCTTAAATGTCCTTCCTATGTAATATGTCTTAGTTTTTTACTCAATTGCTTTCTTGAACTGAGACCCTCCCAGAAGAAACAGGCA